TAATACAGTAAAATGTTACATTTATTTCAATTGGGATTGAATATTGATATGTTTAGCTGTGTGTGTGGCTTGCTTTAGTTTATATAAATAAAAAGATTTGTAGGCCTGTACATTTGTGTATCCAATTGAATACACATTTTGCTCAAAGACTTTACGTAGTCTTCGAACACTACTGGGAATGGAGGCGGAGCTGGAATCTCAGTAGTGTAAATATTTCTAGTTCTCGAGTGTACATGAGAGAATAAATCGTCAACGGTGGCTTGAAGATTTGTCTTTAGATTAGATTTCGTATCATTTGCTGCCTCAAGGATTAGAATTGTTTGCCAGAAAATGATGCTGAAAATACCCACACAGTGCGTTTTAGAGCGTCTAGTTTTCAAAACATTTCGTGGGAGGACCGCCGAACCCCCTTCTTTACCAATAGTCGCCCACGTATGGACTGTCCCCAACACTCATTTTTGGCGATCTGCGCCCCTGTTTACTCCTATTGTTTTATCAACATTCCAATCACAAATTCGGCTAACTCAATATCTTCCATTATATTTGAAATTAAAAATTAGAATTCAATATTGGTCCATTTCAATCAATATTGATGTTATCTTGCCGTGAAAACATGGGATCTTAATATCCAACATTTAAGACACAATGAACATTTTATAATCAGTACACAAATTGTATATTCTACGGTTTCAGGTGCCATTTGTAATGAACAATAAAAAACATATCCTACAAGACCATGCAGAAGTAATCAATAGTAATGGCTGATTCACAAACGACCAAATGATAACAAACCAAGAATTGAGACCGATGTCCCCCGCCAAAATCCCCTCAAAAAATAGATGATACATATTAATTAATCGCACATTTATTTTTTTTTCAAAAGTATCGAGCAATCCAACTATACACTAAGTTTCATCACTCTCTATCAGATAGAATCAAGATTATCTTGTCCCAAAGCATCGACCAATGAAATTGATTAGCTCTGCTTAGCTTCAGCTCAAAGTGTTAATCTTTGAACTCAGTAAAGACATTCATCTAATGAATTCCATCAAGGCATTCACTTAATGAACATCTACACCAAGTTTGAACATTCTACTTCAATTAGAAGGAAAGTTATTGTGTTCCAAGGTCTCAACCAATCAAATTGCTTGTCATTCTGCTTACCCTCAGCCGACAATGTTCATTATCGAACTTAGTCAAGGTATTGATGTAATGAATCTATACGCCAAGTTTCATCACTCTCACTTAATTAGAACTAAAGTTACCAAGTCCCAAAGCATGAACCAATCAAATTGCTTATCTCTGCTAACCCTAAGCAGAAAATGCCCATCTTTGCACTCCATCAAGGCATTGACCTAATAAACACCTACGCCAAATTTTCACATTCTAGCTCAATTAGAAAGAGAGTTAGTGTGTCCCAAAAAGTGTGACGGACGGACAGACAGACGGACGAACGAACCCATTTTAATACTCCCCAGCTTTCTTCAATAGGCGGGGGACAATAAAAAAAACGTGTAGAATGGACTAAGCAGGGCACAACCGTCGTTCAATTTTGACTATTCACATATTTCATCAAAGTGTAATTGATTAGAAATTACAATAAATTTTTGATAAATTGAATATAAATCATTTTATATATATTCATATTGAATTAATATGTGCTTTTAGAACCATAACTGAACAAACATCATGTAGTGTTATTTATAGAAAAAATGAAATATAAGGCTATCAAGTTAAACTGTTTGATATACAAGTGTTATTTCCTACTTAATCACTGGTGAATATGTATGATATACCACAGTGTATTGTACTATAAATACTCTCTAATTACTGTTATTACAATTAATATAATATAGTCCCTACAATATAAATATACCCATAAAATATATTATACCATTCAACAACCTTTCTAAGATTAAACCATCAATGAAATGAAACGAAATAGGGTTTAACAACCTACTGTTCTGCTTCAACTGGGCTAATGAAGACAGGCCTACATGTATGCCATGCTGTGTGATATGAGGTACATTTTGCACAGGCAGCAACATTTCTACCTACTTTTCGTTGAATTCCACAGGGGATCTTGTTTTTTGTTGCTGCAAAATTTGGGATATTAATATTTTTCATCTACCATACATGATTTTCAAACAACCTTTTTGATGTTTTTCTTCTTTAAAATGTCATAATCTTATTAATATAACCAAAATTAATATCTGTACAGGTAATATCTTCGAACAAAAATATAACTTTCTACTGTATATGTCTAAACCGTGCACTTTTAGAAAGAAAGATTTTACAGTTACTGTATGTTAGTGCTGGCGCCATATATCGTTGAATCGATGTATCACGATTCACCTTCTCACGATTGTGAATTGCGATACGTATTGTATCGTGACTGCAGTGGCAATAGCCAACACTACCGTATTATATCCCCAGGGACGGGCTGAGAAGGAGCCTGCGAGTATGATAGGTTTGGAGGCCCTTAGAGGAATTAGTGTTCTTACATGTTTTAATCTTAAATTTACGACGAATTATTGAATTACATTTTTTTTTTAAATATCTCAATTGGGGGCTCAAAACAGAGTACGGATCGGACAGTCAGTTTTATTTTTAATATCCCTGGTTATACCCTGTGTCAATCTAACACGGACTATCAACCTATTGATCAACCTGAACACAAAAACATGGGTATTATCAATAATCCTATCTATTCTGTATGAATGACCTTCATAATATGCTTCTTAAACACGACAAACAGGTTAGTTACACAAATATTTTAGGGCCAAGTTTGTGTATTTTAGAGTACAGTTAGTTGTAACACTGAAGACATTCATTTTTAATTTGAATTCTACCCCCACAAAATAGGAAACCATAAACTATCACCGACTGAAGGGTGTTCCCCTTTGATATACACTTGTGTGTTGATAAAGACAATATAAAATATTATAATTTTATTAATACGACCAAAACTAATGTTTGTACAGGTAATAAAAACATAATAAAAAAGACCGTAAAATACGATCTCTACTTATATTTGGAGTTCAACTTTTTATGGATATCTAAGAATATGTTTTATTAGGACAGACTGGGATAATGTTTGATAACGTACATGTATAGACCACATCAGCCGTGTTAGAGAGAGAGAAATGGGGTTTAACATCCACTCAACACAAACTAAGTCATTTTTGGACTAACATATGGTTCAACTTTATTTCAATGATTTTCTTGTGCATAGGGGTCTTTAGCTGTGGGAGTAAACCAGAGGTCACGGAGAAAACCCACGAGGTTGGACACGTGACCCTAGACTACATCAGCCGTGTTAGAGAGAGAGAAATGGGGTTTAACATCCACTCAACACAAACTAAGTCATTTTTGGACTAACATATGGTTCAACTTTATTTCAATGATTTTCTTGTGCACAGGGGTCTTTAGCTGTGGGAGTAAACCAGAGGTCACGGAAAAAACCCACGAGGTTGGACACGTGACCCTACTCTTTGTCAAGTACAAGCTGGAAATCGAAACCATGTCACCTGACTCAATTACAGACCTTATGATCTAAACCTTCCGGCCACCCAACTCCTTATAGGCTAGTGGTCACATTCAAAGCTAATTGTCTAATTTTACTTTTTTTACAAGTCGATTATTCAATTCTTGTTTGCATTCTTGTTTGTTTGGAGGTTTTTTTCAGATTTCAAGAAATTATGAATCTGTTAAATCAATATATTTTCCATATTTGTGTTTGGTCCTTTTGAAATGTGAGTTATAAAGCAAGGGTAGGCTATATATATATTTGTGTTTTTATTTTCAGTATATACATGTATATATACTTGGTACACTTAACAATGCTAATATCATTATAATAGGCATTCTAAATATATATCGGTCACCTTTCCTACTTTAGTTTTATAAATGGACATTATTTTCAAAATATACCCTACTTTATTTAAACACACTTCTGCTAATATCATTATTCATAATATTATGTATTCTAAATTTTTTGCTGGTTATTGTTGCATGTTTATATATTATGTCATAATTAAATATATAATGTAGGCCTACATGCTGCCCCACAAAGGTGTTTTATGTTATAAATATTTATCTACTTTTGTGTTGTTTTTGTTTTTTCCAAGTGTCCATCATTTTTATTTCTAATCTATTGAATGCATACTAACAAGTAAGAGATTAAAACCATGTAGATATGTCATGCTATTCTACGACTTTTCGTCGGATGGTTAATTGTTTTGCGCCCATTAGTTAATCAATCAGTCTGAATTAAAATAAATGAGCCTATTGACCTCTGTGGACGAATGAATTTACCAAAATTAACATAGCACGAACAAAATCAAAATGATTTTTCAAAATATGCAATTTCATACATGTATATCTAATTCTACGAATTATGTTCGTCCATTCTATTAGTCTCTGTTCCGGTTCCACTTGTTAACAATGTTGGCCAGATTTAAATATTAGCTATACATCGCTAATATTTGAGACCTAGAAATGGACACAAATGGGTCACAACGCATATAATAATGTAATATGAATGTATATAAACTGATTTACATGCTATCCTTTCTGTTTTTCTATCATTTCTAATCAGTCTCAATCGAATGGCAAACTCTAGTGTCTGGTTATTCCAGTCTATACCGATAGTATTTATTACTGATGCTCTGCAGATAAGAATATGATGTCACCGTTTGATATGACTTGTGGAATATGTCTTCTAGCCTCATTCTTCGAGTCCCTTGTTACAAATGGCTCTGAAACGCATTATGGTACACGATTCGTGTACCAATGGTAAAATGTTTATTTTGTCTTAAACATTGGATATCAGAAACACATGTTTTCTAGGTATGATCACAACATTTATGTTGATTTAATTTGATAAATAATTCATGTTTTCAATGTCGAAGACTTTGGATGATATTGAGTTAGAGACAGTTTAGCTACTTTAATGAATTCTCGGGAAGTTTTTACACATATTTAAGAGATTTCCTTACCCTATCCAAATCTTCTCGTAATTTCCTCATTTCAATATCTTCCACCTTCCCTCGTCTAGCTACCCCTGCTCCTGATCTACGCCCTGATTCTGGTGCAGACATTTTCACAAACCTTTGCTTTGCACTCAGCTAACTTTGCCTCTACCGATTCCAAAACTTCTCGTATAAAAGTTATTTTGACATTTGTCGGTATGTTTATCGAGTCAGTACATTATCCACAGGAACACGAATAAAGGATTTAAACAAAACAGTTGCGAGCGTAAATAAAAAAAATAAGTAGTTAATCCGCAGATTAACGAACAACAAGAACGAAAACAAACGTTACTAAGACCAAGAATTACTTTCTATTGATGTCTTAAAAGTTAATCCGATTATGATTAATTCTGATAGAGTAGTCTCCCCTTAGTTAAAAATAATTCTTACTGTTGGCATCGTAAATGTATTTAGATAACGGTAGATTGCAGTACAATTTTGAACCCCCCAAAAAACCCAACACCAACTGCCTAAAAAAACCAACAAAACAAAGGGAAAATATCTAATTTTTAACGGCCTAATCCTGGCTAAACTGTATTCAGATTACGTTTAACAAAAAAGTGTCTATAGTATTAACTATAATGTAAACTAATTATTCGTGTAGTTTAATCGCATTGTGTGCTTAATAAATTAGTTAGCCATGATAATCCTCGCAACGAAGTGCGTTAAAGAATTGCGTTTTTAAAGAGTTATTCATCTTATTATTCAATCTTCTTTCATTGCGATTAGGTTTCGTCAACGCTATGACGTCATCTATGTGTAGACGTCAACGTGATACGCTGATACGGTCGTCTGTTCTTTGTGTAGGCCTATTTATTTTTAAGCACAAGCACAATCTATACAGGCCAAAATCTATCACAATGTCAACCACGGAAAACAACTTTCGAGTTGAAACACTTCTTCATAGTTTGAAAGAAGTGCAGAATGGTATATGAACATAATTTGATTTCAACCACATGTCGTAGGCCTACTACTCCGTAAACCGTTACTCGTAGGCCTACTAGTACTTGTACTACTCCTACTACTACTAGATACGGTAGCCTAGGCCTAGATAAGAATAAAAACAATGACCATCTTTCAGTCTCACCATTATCTTTTTGATAGTAGTCTTTTAGATAATAAAAGGGTTTTTAAGTATTACAAATAAAAAGTCTCAAATAAGGAAAGCTTAAAGATTCTAATTACATATTTATTTTTAAAATTTATGTTTTTATATTACCTTTATTATATTTATATTAAAAGTTAATCCGATTATGATTAATTCTGATAGAGTAGTCTCCCCTTAGTTAAAAATAATTCTTACTGTTGGCATCGTAAATGTATTTAGATAACGGTAGATTGCAGTACAATTTTGATCTTACGTTATCAAACTGGTTACACTTTTATCTTTTTGATAGTATTAGATAATATAAGGGTTTTTAAGTATTACAAATAAAAAGTCTCAAATAAGGAAAGCTTAAAGATTTTAATTACATATTTATTTTTAAAATTTATGTTTTTATATTACCTGGTACTTCATTTTTTTCACTTCTTTATATATCTTATTATTTCAATATCTTTGTAGAAAGTTTCTAGGTAACGCCGATACTCATGTTTTTGTTGACAGATCGAAAATAAATTCGTCGAGGGCGAGCTAACAGTAATGTTTGTGTGAACCTATATCCTACCATTCCAGTGTGGTGCGCGACGGAGGGACTGACAAATACAGCGTCTGTCGTTCGGATGGGACGAGAAACCGAGGTCCCGTGTATACATTGGCGCGCATGTTAAGGACCATTGACAGTTGGAATTTGAAATATGAGTAGGCCGTTAGCGCCGCTGTCCTGGCAAAATTTCCCTCATAGCACATTGTAAGACCAGTGCTTGATTAACCATTAATAAAATAAGCATTAGGCCTACATGCTTATTTTTAGGGCATCATTGGAATGGGGGCAAATAAGCACCACAGAATACCTGCTATGTTACATGCCAAATTTAGAATATTTAATTTAAGAATTTTCATTTGTTTTGGTCATTTCTTACTGTTTTGTCGAAATTAATGACGTGTTTAAAACCCCAGAAAAACGCTAACAGTTCAACGTGCTTGACGGTGACGGTTGTTTATCGTTTATTACTGTTTATATTTTGAATAACATATATATGGGGGCAACAAAAGTTTTAAAGTGCTTAGGGCTTCTATAGGTTTTAGAGCCATGGTGGCTCAGTGAGTAAGACAGTGGCTCGCTTACCCGGAGTGACCCCGGGTTAATATGATTCTTTTACGTGCACGCCTACTCTGGATCTCTGTTTTTCGTTCCACCCGAACGCTAGACGCTGTTCTTTACAGACCCTCCCCCTGCACCACTGACACACCGGGAACGAATACACGACCGTCTAATTATTAAGCCAGTGCCTTACCCAGTGAGGCACCTTGGTCATGGGTTGGGTTAATGATTGCAATATATAGGTAAATAAACCTGGTTATTATCTATTACAGTTGATATATCACGTGGTTCATATTGATTCTAGACATCATTAATCTTTTTTACCTTCTTATATAACCTTCTCTTATCTTCTTTATTCTTTTTATCAAGGGCCGAGAGAGAGAGAGAGAGAGAGAGAGAGAGTCCGAGAATTGGGGTTTAACGTCCACACGAAACACACTAGGCAATTTCGGGACTAGCATGGTTCGATTTTAATTCAATAATTGGCATGTACGTAGGGGTTAGCTGTGGGAAGAACCGGGGGATCCGGAGAAAGCCCACGCGGTTGAACAGGTGACAAACTCCTTGTCACGCACAAGCGGGGAATCGAAACCACACCACCTGACTGGATGACTAGACCACCGGCCAAACCCCCCAACCGGACTAATTAATGGTGGTCATATGTCATGCAAGGTGATATGAGGGACAGCGGCACTACGGCCTACTTTTATATCCATATCTAACCATAGATCGTATATTCTTTTACACGCACGTCAATGTTTACATTACATTAGGGAGAGAGGTTTTACATAGACTAAGCCTGTTCCCCAATCCCATTCAGACAACCTGAATAAAAATATTGTTTTTTAAAAAAAATGTTTACATGGGTGGAAGATGATTTTTAGTCCCGCGCCTATGATTGTAGGAACCCAGATTCACGAACGCTGATTAAAAAACAAATGACAAAACAAAACAAAATCATCCACTGAAAAATATAAATCCGATGAAAAAAATGGTAAAGGGTGGCGGGGGGGGGGGGGGCAAGCTAGTTCCGTCTTTCATTCTCAAAGCGTTATCTAGACAAGGAAAGCAGGGTTATTCCGGCCAGCACCTACCAAACCAGAAAATAAAGCAACCAATACGAATCAGGGTTTTTAATTGTTTTTTTTTAAAAAAACATATTAAACTGTATAGTAATCTCATAAAATTCTTTAACAGACAATTATGTAGTGAATTATATTTTTATAAATACAGTAACAGTAAAATATTATTTAAGTACACGAGAACGTTATAGAAATATATGATGACGTTATATATGATGACGTTATAGAGATATATGATGACGTTACAGAGACGTTATAGAGATATATGAGGACGTTACAGAGATATAAACAATAGGTATTATTTGAGAATATATATACACTATGTAAAAATTAGATAAATAGCTGACCGTTCTTGCTATAACTAGTTCAAAAATAGATAATGAAAAATGAATATATTGAAAATTTTATTCAAATTACTTTATTTTGAGCGAGGTTATGAGTGTTGGAACTGGTAGCGACATTGTTTATTATCGTAGCAACGGTACTAAGTCTTTATTATCCGTTTTATCGTTATTATTTTTTTTAACTCACAGGCGTTCTAATCCATTTAAATCTTGGCCATCCGATGGTCTAGCTGGTTGATTATATGTTTGTAATGTTTAGAAATGTCTAAATAATAATTTATACAACAGTTGAAGCCGAAATATACAGATTTAGCTCTTACATAATACATCTTTAAACTAGAATTTATAAATTAATATGTACCTTCAACGTCACTGTGGCCTCCACAGACTTATCCCACGTTAAAGGACCTAAACCTCCTTATTTCATAATCAAAATAAAATATTGAACTGGGGTGATCTCTATTAATTAATTATTGGTGGAGATAAACACCATTCCATTTCATTTACTGAATACATTTATAAAAAAACATCAAAGAAATGAAATCAAATGGGGCATAACGTCCTTCTGTTCTGCACTGGCTGGGATAATAAAGACGGACTTCCGCTTACGCCATACAGTGTGCTATAAGGGATAGTGTGCCCTGACAGCGGCGATATGGCCTACTCTTATATCGAATTCGAACTGTTTTAAGGGTTCTTGTACGTGCACGCAAACATGTACACGATGGAACCACACTGGAAAATCCTGGTTCAAACTCTGATCTTCCCGTTTAGCTAGCCAACGCTTTACAAACTGGTGTTGATTTGAATCCGATCTTGACAATGACAATCGATGTTTTCTCGTTTTCGAGTGACGCAATTCGACTGATATTTTCAGCATATTCTCTTTACATTATTTATTTTTAAACTATTGTAGCGAGAACTGTCAGCTCTTTATCTAATCGTCCATAATGCCGCTTTAATCATTCTCGTTTATACCTCAGGATATGATGTGGCCTATTCATATTGATATAAAGCTAATATATAATTTATTACCGGTCTATAAATACCAAATATATGCTATTTACTCGTACTGCTTTAAGTATATATTCCAAGCTTGTACCGGGTCTTTAGCAGTTGGAGGAAATCAGAGGATCCACAGGCGACCCTACTCCTTGTCACGTACAAGCGGGTACTCGAAACCCCGCCACTTAACTAAATGACAAACCCCATGGACTAAAGCCTACGCGTTAAACCATTCGGCCAACCCCGTGAAATAAGAGAAGCCATAAAAATAACTACAACCGCAGTACACTGCACATCTTCATTGGTCTAATTTGTGCAGAAAAATAATTAAACCCCATAAACTTGACTTTTTAAATCAATTAAAGGTATCCACTCGAAATGTACATTTTATTAAAATTAATTAATTCTAAATATTGCGTTTTCAAAAAGTTTGTTCACCCTTTGGAAGAGCTCCATACACATAATTATAAATTTACAGTGTTTGATTTTCGAGCGGTGAATCCATTACAATAAAACCTGCACAAGAGACCAACTGAAAACAGCCGTCACAAATCAGCCAAACAACACAAGAATAACTATTTGAGCAACCAACGCACAAAGCAACAAAATTAGGCCAATAAAATTCAACAAACGTAGTCCATATTGTCGTTTATCTTTGTCGCAGAAAGCGCAAAAGCATGGAAGATATTTGA